CTTCCAACTACGAGTGATCGCTTGTGTTCCTATCACTTTCGTGATGAGGACTACGTGCGAAGCCCCAGGGTGATGGAGTCCTTGGGCTTCCCGGTGAGGAACGTACAACTCAAACCAGGAGTTTTGCCCCGTTTATTTTCAAAGAAGCGGAGATCTGGCGAGCGCAGCGAACCCCTTGACAAGCGACGCAGAGTGGTAAGGGAGCATGTTGTCTGTCGAGTATTTCCGAGTTCTGCAATGAAAGCCGAACCGCATGTAAGCGATTTAGCGAGTGACGAGACGAGCGACGGCGTCGAGAGTCTGCGACGAGCGACGGAGTCGAGAGTCTGCGACGAGCGACGGAGATTTCTCACTGTCGCCAGTCGCATCGCTCGGTTCTTAGATTACTGGAAAGGGTAAAGCTATACGCACTACGTCGTGCACCTTGACTGGAAATGGCCCTACGCACTACGCGAAGCTCGTATCAGCGGCGAGTTTCCAAAGAGCATGATAGTAAGGTGTCTGCTTTATACGCAGCGGTCCGCGGTTCGATCCCCAATGAGGGCGACGTTTCCTTATTTTTTTTTTTTTTTTTTTTTTTTATCACTATTTTTTTTTTTTGTAGGGCATTTACGATGTTTAAGACATTTCTTTACTACAAATAACACTGAAAAAAAAAAAAAAAAGATAAGGATTGATATTTACGAAATTTTGCAGAACTGAATGGTATGGGACTCGCTTTCCGGAGGTGCAGGAGGGGACAGCGGGGCTTGGGTTGCCGGCTGGACGCCGCGAAGCGGCGTGTACAGGTTAAGTTTTGCAATTAGCAGCCGCACAGTGTCGCCGCGAAGCAGCTTGAACGCAGGCAAGGGGGGTAAGGTTCGGTTAAACACACGCCGTCCGAAAAGGGTGACCCAAATGACATGATGGCATCAGCTCTCTGCGTAGTGTTTATAGCCATTTCCGATCGAGGTGCACGACATAGTGCGTATAGCTTTACTCTTCTAGAAAACGTCGCTCACCGTCCTGGCCACTTGCCCCCGTCGCTTTCATGCGGTTTGCCTCCTCGCGCGACCGACCGAGCAACAGCGAAGCGGGTCGCCGTTGCTTGTCTCGTCACTTGCCAAGTCGCTTTCATGCGGTTTATGCTTGTCTGTTTCATCCAGCATGTGAGCGATTTTCCAGGAGACCTGTTGCTCAGTTTGTCACTCGCCGAGGCAAATCGCATGCAGCGACCTCCAGGCGATGACCAAAGTGTTCAGGGAATTTAGAACCGAACACTGCGACAGGCGACAGCGACCAGCGATAGCCTAGCTCATCGCTCGCCAAATCGCTTTCATGCGGTTCAGCCGTGGCCGATCGTGCTTTCTTTTTCAAGCCGTTCCGCTCATCATCGAAGAGCTTTGGCAAGGTGGGTTAGAGCGCCGGATCGAACGCACGCACTGCAGCAATTCAAGGATCTAGGGTTCGACCCCTACCTTACCAGTCTTAACTTGGATAAACATTGTGCTGGCATGCGGTAGTATATCAGTAGTATGTGACGTCCCTTCAAAACCCCGGGGTAGCGGTAGTACTGCACTGGCTGGATTTCCTACCTACAGTGTAGAGCGTATCTGCAACGACAACCATCCACCTCTCTAAATTTCCATGCACTTTATTTTTCTTAATGGCCAGTAAATCATATGCTATTTTCCCCTGAGCATCAGGCACCTCTGCGTGATTCCACCAACTTCCTGGTCGGAGGTGCAGACACATGTTGGGAGCCTACAAACGAGCTAGAAGAAACAGCCGTTAGAACAGGTAAGGTTATTGACGTAACTTGAATGTCTTTTAACGTAACAATGTGTGGGCTGTGAGTGCTGCACCAGTGGGCCCATACTCCTGGGCCAAAAGCAATAACACCCCCTTAACATTCTTCCGTCTTCTCTCTTGCATCTCTCCAGTGACTCCAAGTGTGTTGGCATGTCGGCTGGTTGCACCTGCGGCCTCCCCCACTGCAATAACGCGGACAGACAGTGCCAGCACCTTTACAGGTATGCAGGCACTCCAATGGGACCTATACTGCGTGGTGTCACCTGCTTCAAGCGGAACTGCCAGACGCATCCACACAGTGCTAATGTTGCTCTAAGGCTTTTTGTGTCTCGATCATGCACTTCTATGCTGATTCATGTCTGTTCATAGGCGCCCCTGGAGCGTTGGGTTGCCCACCTGCGGCCTCGCCGACCGCTCCGACACAAACAGATGGAGCCCGCACCCCGACAGGTATGAAGGCACTCCGATGGGACCTATACTGCGTGGTGTCACCTGCTTCAAGCGGAACTGCCAGACGCATCCACACAGTGCTAATGTTGCTCTAAGGTTTTTTGTGTCTCGATCATGCACTTCTATGCTGATTCATGTCTGTTCATAGGCACCCCTGGAGCGTTGGGTTGCCCACCTGCGGCCTCGCCGACCGCTCCGACACGAACAGATGGAGCCCGCACCCCAACAGGTATGAAGGCACTCCGATGGGACCTATACTGCGTGGTGTCACCTGCTTCAAGCGGAACTGCCAGACGCATCCACACAGTGCTAATGTTGCTCTAAGGTTTTTTGTGTCTCGATCATGCACTTCTATGCTGATTCATGTCTGTTCATAGGCGCCCCTGGAGCGTTGGGTTGCCCACCTGCGGCCTCGCCGATCGCTCCGACACGAACAGATGGAGCCCGCACCCCGACAGGTATGAAGGTACTCCGATGGGACCTATACTGCGTGGTGTCACCTGCTTCAAGCGGAACTGCCAGACGCATCCACACAGTGCTAATGTTGCTCTAAGGTTTTTTGTGTCTCGATCATGCACTTCTATGCTGATTCATGTCTGTTCATAGGCACCCCTGGAGCGTTGGGTTGCCCACCTGCGGCCTCGCCGACCGCTCCGACACGAACAGATGGAGCCCGCACCCCAACAGGTATGAAGGCACTCCGATGGGACCTATACTGCGTGGTGTCACCTGCTTCAAGCGGAACTGCCAGACGCATCCACACAGTGCTAATGTTGCTCTAAGGTTTTTTGTGTCTCGATCATGCACTTCTATGCTGATTCATGTCTGTTCATAGGCGCCCCTGGAGCGTTGGGTTGCCCACCTGCGGCCTCGCCGACTGTTCCGACACGAACAGATGGAGCCCGCACCCCGACAGGTATGAAGGCACTCCGATGGGACCTATACTGCGTGGTGTCACCTGCTTCAAGCGGAACTGCCAGACGCATCCACACAGTGCTAATGTTGCTCTAAGGTTTTTTGTGTCTCGATCATGCACTTCTATGCTGATTCATGTCTGTTCATAGGCGCCCCTCGAGCGTTGGGTTCCAGGCTGCCTCTACCAGCGGCCTCACCCACTGCTTTGACGCGGACGAATGGAGCCTGCACCCCGACAGGTATGCAGGCACTCCGATAGGACCTATACTGCGTGGTGTCACCTGCTTCAAGTGGAACTGCCAGACGCATCTACACAGTGCTAATGTTGCTCTAAGGTTTTTTGTGTCTCGATCATGCACTTCTATGCTGATTCATGTCTGTTCATAGACGCCCCTCGAGCGTTGGGTTCCAGGCTGCCTCTACCAGCGGCCTCACCCACTGCTTTGACGCGGACGAATGGAGCCTGCACCCCGACAGGTATGCAGGCACTCCGATGGGACCTATACTGCGTGGTGTCACCTGCTTCAAGCGGAAATGCCAGACGCATCCACACAGTGCTAATGTTGCTCTAAGGTTTTTTGTGTCTCGATCATGCACTTCTATGCTGATTCATGTCTGTTCATAGGCACCCCTGGAGCGTTGGGTTGCCCACCTGCGGCCTCGCCGACCGCTCTGACACGAACAGATGGAGCCCGCACCCCAACAGGTATGAAGGCACTCCGATGGGACCTATACTGCGTGGTGTCACCTGCTTCAAGCGGAACTGCCAGACGCATCCACACAGTGCTAATGTTGCTCTAAGGTTTTTTGTGTCTCGATCAGGCACTTCTATGCTGATTCATGTCTGTTCATAGGCGCCCCTGGAGCGTTGGGTTGCCCACCTGCGGCCTCGCCGACTGCTCCGACACGAACAGATGGAGCCCGCACCCCGACAGGTATGAAGGCACTCCGATGGGACCTATACTGCGTGGTGTCACCTGCTTCAAGCGGAACTGCCAGACGCATCCACACAGTGCTAATGTTGCTCTAAGGTTTTTTGTGTCTCGATCATGCACTTCTATGCTGATTCATGTCTGTTCATAGGCGCCCTTCGAGCGTTGGGTTCCAGGCTGCCTCTACCAGCGGCCTCACCCACTGCTTTGACGCGGACGAATGGAGCCTGCACCCCGACAGGTATGCAGGCACTCCGATGGGACCTATACTGCGTGGTGTCACCTGCTTCAAGCGGAACTGCCAGACGCATCTACACAGTGCTAATGTTGCTCTAAGGTTTTTTGTGTCTCGATCATGCACTTCTATGCTGATTCATGTCTGTTCATAAAAGCCCCTGGAGCGTTGGGTTCCAGGCTGCCTCTACCAGCGGCCTCACCCACTGCTTTGACGCGGACGAATGGAGCCTGCACCCCGACAGGTATGAAGGCACTCCGATGGGACCTATACTGCGTGGTATCACCTGCTTCAAGCGGAACTGCCAGACGCATCCACACAGTGCTAATGTTGCTCTAAGGTTTTTTGTGTCTCGATCAGGCACTTCTATGCTGATTCATGTCTGTTCATAGGCGCCCCTGGAGCGTTGGGTTGCCCACCTGCGGCCTCGCCGACCGCTCCGACACGAACAGATGGAGCCCGCACCCCGACAGGTATGAAGGCACTCCGATGGGACCTATACTGCGTGGTGTCACCTGCTTCAAGCGGAACTGCCAGACGCATCCACACAGTGCTAATGTTGCTCTAAGGTTTTTTGTGTCTCGATCATGCACTTCTATGCTGATTCATGTCTGTTCATAGGCGCCCCTCGAGCGTTGGGTTCCAGGCTGGCTCTACCAGCGGCCTCACCCACTGCTTTGACGCTGACGAATGGAGCCTGCACCCCGACAGGTATGCAGGTGCTTCAAGAAAAAAAAAAAAATTGGGTTGTGTGTATGTTTATAAAGTCTAGAACTTGGTCTACCTCAACGGGCGACTTGTCTCCCAGCTGTAGATGAGAAATTTACCCAGTGCAGTACAGCCACTAGCCTGGGGTCCTTAACGAACATCACGCAGTAGTGATGCACGACTGCACGCTGGTACGATGCTCATTCAGATCAAAACAGGCAGGGGTGGGGATAAAACCCAGCATCTTGGGTTCTGCAGCGCGAGCTTTCGCTCCACGTGCTCTGAGCTGGTGTGCGCTAGCCCACTCGGCCACCGATCCCCCCTCAGGTGCTCCAAGCGGGACCTATACTTCGTAGTGTCACCTGCTTCAAGCAGAACCACCAGACGCATGTACACAGTGCTTGTGTTGCTTCTAAAGTTTTCTTGTCGCTCAATCATGCACCTTTACGCTGATTGATATATGTCCATAGGTACGTTTGGTGCGTTGGTTTCCATTCTGCGTCCACCTGTGGCCTCCCCCACCTCTCTGATATGGACTGACGACGCCCGCACCCAGACAGGTATGCAAGCACACCGAAGGGGGACTATACTCTTTTGCGTCACCTGTATCGAGCAAAACCGTCAAAGGCCTCTTCATATTGGCAAAGTGATTGTCACGTTTGACATCTACACAGCGCTTTTGTTGCTACAAAGGTTCCTTTGTTTCTCAATCATTGACTATTTCTGCTTTTCGTTTACTTTACAGCAGCCTTGAGAGCAATGACTGCTGCTAGACATCCTGTGTTTTCAGCATCGTCACGTTACGAGACACGGTCCGTGATGACGCAGACAACAGGCTTCGGCAGAAACGCAAGTACGGTCATTCATGTAAACTAAATATACTGACACGAGAATCATTTTAATTCTGTTCGAATTCTACTTGAGCGAGTTAAACTGAGAAGGAGGTGGTGTCAGATATATCTCGATGTTTGAGCTGTGCAGATGTTTGGTATTTGTTAAAGAGAGCTTGGTGTAGTTAGCACACAGAGTTTAAGTCAAAAACCCATTCATTATATTTAAATGGAGCACATTTCTAATGCCTTAGATTTTTTGCTAGGTACACAAGCATGTATACCATCGAGGAACAAGAAAGTGCAGACGGAGCTTTCTGGAATTATGCCGCAGACCTCTTCCTCGTCAAACTGTGGTGATCCAGAACAGAGGTATGCAAAGGTCTTGGGCCTACAATGCCTAGAGCATCTGAACGCCATCTGGCAACAACCTCTCCACCTATTTCTGTGTTAGTTTTAGGAGTTCCCTGAGGCCCTGCAACTCCCAGACATCACTTTGTGACCCCCCTTTTGTGCAGTTCTGATTCAGAAGACCTGGGTGTATCAGGGAAGCAGCCACTGGAAAGAGATGACCCTACGTATTGTCCACCAGAGGACAGCTCTGTTAGGTCCGTATGCAGTCGTGTAAGAATTTATGAGATCATCTATCATGCTTAGACAGTTTGTTGAGATGATGTTGGTTTTTGTGTCGCAGGCTTGAGAGGGAAACACCATCTTTGGTAAAGGAGAGGAAATTCATTGTATTCGAGTCTTGCCTTGACCTTCTCCTGGGGAAGTGCCAAGTATGTGCTGCTCCCCTGATCCACGTGGACAAGAGTGTCGTTGGCTGCAGCCTGCAAGTCTACTCAATTTGTCGGAGTGGACACGTGAATGACTGGTGCAGCCAGCCCATCATCAAGCGGAAGCCGGTGGGGAGTATCCTAATGGCTGCGGCAATCCTGTTCAGTGGCAGCTGCGTAAAGAAGACACTCAGAACACTCACCAGCATGGGGATTGTCTGTTTCTCCTATGGCACCTTCTTCAACATCCAGAAGGCCTTTCTCCTGCCCTCAATCGAAAAGGTACTCTGAAGTTAAAAACTGACAGAAACACCCCCCCCCCCCCCCCCCCCCCCATGTTTTCCCTGTGCTCTTTGCTCCTCGTGACCACAATAAAGTGGGCCTAGAAACTGTTTACTACAGAAACGAGTGGTTTCGTTCCTGGTTTGGAAAGGAGTAACCCATGGCTGAAATTCCTTCTTTCTGCTCGTGTGTTGGTATTGTAGGCCAAATTTGGTCCTCGAACCATTAAAACACATTCATTAAGACATAATAGTAGATTCTGTAAAGAAAATGTGACCTAATTTAAACTCGGTCTCTGTTTCAAGCCCAGTTGCCTATCCTGTATTTTTCGTAACCAGGTCTGGAACAAGCATCAGAACGAGTTGTTCGCAGCTGCTGCAGGCAGGCACCTCACCATCGCTGCTGACGGGAGAGCAGACTCACCTGGCCACTCGGCCAAGTATGGCTCCTACACGATGCTTGATGCCGATGACAACAAGGTCATTCACGTTGAAACCGTCCAGGTATGTACACAAATTCTATAGGTGCTCCAGATTCTATGCTGCCATAAGCATATAATGTTATACTTGCAACTAGGTAAATATCTGCTGAGCATTTTTTCGGCCATGTAGCTTGTAATTTTTTTAATAATTTGTTATCATCATTACAAAGTGTGGAAATGTGAATTACAAAATCGAGAGATGTGAGTTACACTCATTTCCCTTTACTGTGACTTGGACACAGCAATGGAAAGACACGCACCTCAATGTTCAGACATTGAGGTGTACAAACTGGCATATTTTGTTTCGTTTGTGCTGCTTCATGTTGTCCTCGTTTGTTTCTTTTAGTCCAATGAAACTGGGGGCAGCTATCATATGGAGCTGGAAGGCCTCAAGAGGTCCCTCAGCATTTTTGAGGCCCACTCGTTGATTGTGGCCATCCTGGTAACCGACCGGCATCCCCAGCTCAATGCTTGGCTGGGACGAGAACACCCAGATATCTGCCACCTTTTTGATTGCTGGCATGTGGGGAAGGGTAAGATTTAAAAAGGTTCCATCTATCCCAATGAGACTATCACCAGCTTGGGCAGTGGTCCTGAAGGCAGCCTTTGGGAAAATGTAAACTTCCCCAGCCGTGGGAAGTGTTAAGAGTTGCAAAAGATATAAAATTGAGCTATCTAACTAACTAAAATGGGCTATTTAAATTTCTAATTAGCAATTTTTAGGGCCATGTTGCAATTAGGGTTTTGAAGGCTGCCACCATGGTCATCTAAAGCAATTTACAAAAAGTAAAAAGAAGCAACTGGCTTAGAGATATTCACCGACAGACTTTGCGCTGTAATGGGTATGATTTTCGAAATTTGATATCACTATACGCACCTGTCCTACCATACCCATTACGGCGCAAAGTTTGTTGGTGACTATCTTGAAGCTCGTTGCTTCTTTTTACTTTTTACTTTACTTACTACCATGGTGGTAGCCTTCAAAATTCTTTGTTTTTGTTTTGCCTCTTTGCTTTTCAGATAACCTATTTTCAGTAATTTTTAAAAGCTTTCACTGAAAGACCTGGTATATCTAGACATAAAAATATGAACGGCGTTGTGGCAGCTTCCAGAAAAAGAAGGTCTGCCAGCTTTGGCCACGCTTTGTTGCTGCTGCTAGTAAAAAAGAGATTGAAGTATGCGTGACAGGTTCCAGCTGGCACTGGAGTTTCAAAAGAGCCTGTTGGCTTTCCAAAGGTGCCCTGCATGCATCATGTTTACCTTGTTTACAACATTTCACTTCAGGCATCAAGAAAAAGCTGGCTGCAGCTGCCAAGTCACGGCATTTAGAGGAGCTCGGGTCTTGGACAAGGGCAGTGGTGAACCATCTGTACTGGTGTGCTGGGTCAAGTGTCGACAACCAGGACCTCATCCTGCCAAAATGGAAGTCTCTGGTGGCACACGTAGTGGGTGTGCATACCCACGCTGACCCTCTCTTCCCAGAGTGTGAGCATGAGGAGCTAGAGAAAAAGTGGCTAGCAGAAGGTAAGGACAGATTTTTATTTTTGTGAGGCTTGAAATACGCTTTCTGCATTGCACTATGTCCCACGTTCTTGTTGTAGGGTCCCCTGCGCACCAGAAGCTGGAGGAGATCGTGCTCTCCACTCACCTGCTTCGCGACATTCCTCGACTGTCCACATCGGCGCAGACATTTGCAACAGAGTGCTTTCATAGTACTCTGTTGCAGTTTGCGCCGAAGCAGGTCCACTTCAGCTTCCGAAGCATGAAGGCCAGGTGTGTAAGAAATTTGGTTATTTCCTGTTTAGGTGTTTTTTTGTCATGCATATCTTGTACAGGACCTACCTCGCTGCCCTCCATTACAACGAAAATGCGGGAAGGCCCCAAGCGGTGACCAAGAAAGGAGAGAAGATGTGGGTCATCAAGTATCCAAAAGCAAAGAAAGGACCCACTGTTGCTAAGCGCAAGACTGACTGCACCTATGGTATATGCCCGTGCTCATATTTGTACGTGGCTGGTGCAGATTTTTTAATTGCTTTGAATGTCTCATTACAGAGTATGTGGGGGAGCTCATGGCAGTTGTGCTGCACCTCTGCTCAACGCTGCCATCCTACAAGGCTGCAGCTGCCCTCTGCAACCAGGATGCACCTCCATTTCTTTCTAGTGCGTATCAGCATGGAGATAAACAGGCATTGGTGCAACAGCACTGCTCTAGGTTTACTCGGTAGTCTGATGTAGGCCAAGGTTCCACTTGCTTGATGCAGCTTCTTGCGCTACGCTCCAGCTTTTTCACTTCACCGTGTTTGACCGTTCGGAAAACCTCAGCAAGAATGGGATCCACTGCTGTGTTGTCGGCCAGTTCCTTTTCAGTCATGGGAGGTTTCGTCGGGGCTTCTAACATCAGTACGTTGCCTGAAGGATGTTGCTCATTGTCAGTCTCGGGCAATGGTAGTCTGCCTAAAGCATCAGCGTTTTAATTTCGCTTTCCTGGTCTAGAGATTAGGTTATAATCATAGGCTCCCAGCTTAACACACCAGCATGTCCTACTTGGTGAAAGCACAGTCGGTACTGGGGACTCCTGTCCTATGATGCCCAACAGTGGTTGGTGGTCAGTCGTTATGGTCACGTGATGCGCCGCAACGTAGCGATGAAAACGGTCCATGGCGAATATAATAGCCAGCCTTTTACGATCCAATTGGGAGTAATTCTTTTCACGTGACGCCTTGCGACGTAGTGATGAAAACGGTGTATGGCAAAGATAGTAGCCAGCCCCTCACAATCCAGTTAGAAGAAATCCTTTTCGACCTTAATGAGCATTCTTGATGTAAAGACGATCGGTGTTTTGTTTCTATCTGAATCTAGCTGAGCTAATACTGCCTCGATGCCGTAGAGGGTTGCGTCACATGACACGCTCAAGCTTTTGTTTTTATCGTAGTGTGCGAGAACTGCACGCTGTGCAATAACATACTTTAACTGTCTAAAGGCTCGCCAATTTGTTTCCTGCCATTCACCGGGGACGTCTTTCTCTAGAAATATGTAGAGGTCTTTCGTGATTGTTGCCCTGTTTGCCAAAAACCGATCGAAAAACGCTAGAAGACGAAGAAACGACTGCAGCATTGTTTGGCATGTTGGTTCGGGCATCTCTTTGGTCGCTTTCAGTTTCTCCTCTGTCGGGTGTATCCCGGCAGTATCGATGATGTATCCGAGGTATACAACTTGTTCCACTGCAAAACGTAACTTGCACCTCTTGAGTTGAAGTCCAGCCTGAGCAAGTCGCATCAAAACTGTATCCAGTTGAGTCATGTTCTGCTGCGGTCGTACCGCTGATAGCGTCATCGAGGTATACCCCGATCCGCGGGATTTTAGGTAGTACTGCTTTCATGAATCGATAGAAAATCGCTGGTGTTGGCGGCGATGCCAAATGGCATTCTTTTTACCCTGTAGAGGCCTTTTGCAGTGTTAATGGTTAACACGTCGGCTGTTTCTGTTGTTAACTGTAGTTGTTGATACGCTTGAGCAAGGTCCAGTGTAGAAAATACCAACCTGTTTTGCAGATTGGTTAGGATTTCTGGAATCGTCAGCATAGGGTGCACTGCGGCTTTCGCCTCCTTGTTTACCGTACTTCGGTAGTCTCCACATAGCCAAATGGTCCCGCCTTTCTTTCGGACAACTACCACCGGTATAGCCCACTCTAAGTGCTTTGTCGGTTCGAGAATACCTTGGTTCTCGAGAGTTTTCTATTCAACCTCTACTGCGGTACGCAGTGCGAACGGCACGGGCTGTGATTGGAGGGAATTGGCAGTAGCGTCCCCTTTTAAATCAAAGTTTACAGGCGGACCCTTGTGCCCCGTGATCTTCGCATCAGAAACATCCTCATGTACCTTCAAAATGTTCACAATGTTGTTTCTGGTGCCGAGGAGGTGAATTCCACAGACCCTAATCTTCAGCTCTTTGAACCAGTCTCTTCCTGAAGACTGGAACTGGTTCCACGTGTCACTACCAACGACAAGATGTATTGTTTCAATCAATGCCTGACGCAAACATTCGCCTTTCCAAGTACTTGTAAAATTTCTCCTGACCAGGTATGAAGGATTATTCCCTCCTGGTTCAGTGATTGGGGCTTCGTGGGCTACAGAGGACAATACGTGGCTTCATTGATGATTGAGCAAGCATCTGTTGAATTGATCTCAAATTCCAGCTCTCGGTTTTCAATCTCCAGGATGACCTTAGGCAGCATTCAGCTCATGCAGGCTCCATGACTTGTCCGAAAGATCATCATCAGAATCAAGGGTCTCATTGTCCTGTTCCACGTTGTGTGTCATCCACGCTTGGTGCTGCGCCCTTAACTTCTTGAAACAAGCCTTTTTGACATGCCCCTTCTTGGGGCAGAGGTTACATCGTGTATTTTGGAACTTGCACGAGAACGCCGAAGGCTGTTCTTGGCATCGGTAGCACGTCTGGGATTCTGACAGTTTGTTTTGTCTTTCCGTTTCCACAATTTCAGCAGCAATATTGCTTTTTTGACAGCTTAAACCTAAGATTTTTGGGTTTTCAAATCTCGTTGATGTTGTGCAGCACTTTCTGTCCGCACGGCCATGTCGTATGCTTTATGAAACGTTAAGTTGGTCCCTGCAAACAGACTCTGTTGTAGATGCTCGTCTCTTATGCCACGAACAAAACAATCTCAGCCTGACGTCGAGAGGTAGCATGGTTGGGTTGAAAACTGGTTGACTCACCGGAACTGAAGTTCCAGTTGCTCCCAAGTTGACGGAACCAGCTGTCGTTCCAGTTGTAGCCAAACCCATGCCTGCGGTACTGGAAGTTGTTGCAGCCGCCTGTGTCACTAGAATCCCAAAGTTACAATCAGCAGCTAGCTTCTTTAGGGCTGTCGTGTAGCTGGAAATTGACTCCCAGGCTGCTGGTCTCTTCGCTGGAACTTCGTTGTGCCGAAGAGCTCCGACGGCTGCGGGTCAAAGCAGCATCACCATGAGTTCACCGAAATTGACACTTCTGGGTGTTCTCGGTGCAGCCAGTGCTCGCACGACTTTGTACGTCTGTGCTCCACAACGTGTAAGCAGTAGGGCCCTTTTCTTTTAAGGATCTGTTATTCTGTTCGCCTTGCAGTAGAAGCTGTCTGGTCGAATTCTTCCAGCTTGCCTTGGGTGGTCATCCCGCTGTAGTTCTTGGACGTTGACCGACCTCGTCGCTAAAATGTAATGTATCCTGGGTAAAGCCCAAGCACAACACCAAGGAGCGTCCAAACGTGGCTTTTTAATGGTGCCTCGAATCCCAATGCCCGTGCACACGTACCGTGCCCCAGGCCCGTGCTTTTGAAGAGCGCTGGTAAGTGCATTTGCCTGGCAACGCTATCTCTTGGCCACCAGCCGATACATGACAGAAGCCAGTTCTTGGCCGACTTGCATCCGAAGATTTTGTTTAAAGGCTCAAAGTTTCAATCTTTGCATGAGGAAAAAGTTGATCGCCACATGCAGTAGTAGAGTAAAAATGTTTCAGGAGCCAAAAGACAAGAAAGGGGGTTATCGGAGGCTGCTGATATTAGCGAGGACAGGGCAGATGGTATAGGAAGGAGGTTGGGTTAAAAAAAAAAATCCCAACTTGCCTCATGAATATGATCAAGAATGGAACGCAGGAAGTGTTGTTGCTTGTAAGGAGGCCCTCTAGAGGTGGCTCTTTACAGTGCTTGGCTGGTAGTTTGAAGACCATGGCATTCTCAAAGGAGGCATCCGAGACCAATTGGACTTCTGGAATTTTTACGGAATTTGCAGACTGGTAGTTGTCCTTCTCAGCTCTACTTTGCTCTTCTCTCGGGTGTGCACGCCATATCCTCTGCGATTCTTCTCAGTAGTACCCTTGCTTGTCTCCCAAGCCACCTGGGAACGGGCCCATTCATTGGGAATGAGACCATTGGAGACGGAGTTTGCTCTCCGCTTGGTCATTACGATTTTCATCCTCATCTGCTGCTTGGTCATCTGGTGGTGAGCAGTCATAATCCTGCAGATGGTGAAAGCTGTGGTGATACAAAAACTAACTAATTTGCAAAGTGGGTTGGTATTTTTTACACTGGACCTTACTCAAGCATATGAACTACAGTTGCCAGCTGCATTTTTGTGCCTTGCTTGAAGACTTGATCACCACAAGTGTTACAAATCTGGTTTAGACAGTGATTTCCAAGGTGACTACGTATCAGCTGTTTAATAACAAATGTAAATTTTCTTACATTCATTGGCAAAGAACCACCGCCTTTTCCCACCTCTTTGTTTTGTCCTTCCAGCGAGCAACACTTGCAACTTCATTTTGGTCAATCAACCGTTTGAACCCAATGACTGCCTCGGAATTCTCGAGTTTCAGGTGCTACTGTGACACTTTGTTTTATGTTAGTCTGCCTTTTCTGTGGACAAATGCAGCTTTGCTTTGAATGGAAGCTCATATGCAGGATATATGTGCCAATTTTGCTGGAGGCTCAAGTTCTTGCTACAAAGATATACGAGAATTTGGAATTACCATACATGTATTTGTCTACACCTTCGACTTGGTTGCCGGTGTTGCACCATGCACACGGTGCAGTGCGGTTAATGCGAATAAGCTATCGCTAGTTTTTAACTTCTACTTTTGCAAATCAAATGTTTATCACTAAAACCACTTATGCAGTAAATAGGAGCGACTTACCATAATATACCAAGAGACAGCCCACGTAAAACTGAGAGCATATTAGGCGAAAATACAGGGTGGACTAACTTTCAGCGTGCAAAATTGAGTTCAACTAAAGCCATTAGGATAATAAGAAGTTATGCTGAAAATCAGGGTGGGCTATCTTTTGGGGATGGGTCTTCTCTTGAGATATTACGGTAGATGATAAAACTTAGCTTCTCCCTCTTCACTGCCTGAACAGTCTGAAAAAGCACAGGTGAAGTTCCGCTCTGTTGAATGAAAAATGCATTATAATCAGGAAAACTTAACTGTTCACGTTATCGTACCTACTAGTCATTAACGACCTCGCAAGCCATTCTTAGGTTCATAGGTTGCAACCTATTGCTAAACTTACGAGCCTAGAGCTTGGTGACATTTGCTGTCTTTTATTGATGAAGGTGTCTTTGAAGGGCTGGACAAAACATGCCGTAAACGAGTCCTTCAGGTGGCCAATACTTTTTTTATTTTTTGAACCCCCTGTATGTCCCATCTGTGGACGGGAATTCTTGCCGAATCTGACAGACGACGCAGCTGGGCAGCACCACTCGGTTTCCCCGCCCCAGCCTCTTGTGCACCCACCAGGTGAACTGGTGGTATGCCGTGTAGCGGTACTTCCTGTAATGAGATGAGATGGCAGAAACCAGCGTTGAACTCTGAGCAAAGAGGGAAAAGCTAATCACTATTTGCTTCTGACCTTTTCTACTATGCGTTTGTATAGTGTCAACAATCTCCAATGACATCTCGCAGTTTACATCATTACTGTCCTGTAGCATGGGGAACTTCTAACAACATTTTGTATGCAGAAGGATTTTAATTATATTTAATACTGCTTGAACAAGTGTATCTTCACTGTTTGTTGGCATTTAGTTTTTCGGGCTTTTCATTGCAGTATCGATATTTATGTTGTGGTCTATAGACAATTGTGCGGTTTCACGGTAACGAGATTGTCATTGTAGGAAAGAGCAATAAACTTTTTTTGGTGGAATTCTGAAAGCATGGGTACTCTCTCTAATTATTCTGAAATGATGTCTGACCCTGTTTATTTACATGCACAGTGTGGCAGTTAACAGATAAATGATGTCTGACCCTGTTTATTTACATGCACAGTGTGGTAGTTAACAGATAAATGATGTCTGATTCTGTTTATTTACATGCACAGTGTTGCAGTTACCAGATAAGCACACTGCTGTTATTCTTTTTTTTTTCTTGAAAGGTGTGCGAGTACCTAATCGTAGTAGCTAAATCGAATTAAGAACCGGTCATCGAATAGAAGACCATGTGTATGTAACAAGCTCAAATACAAGTTCCTGTGCAGTACCAGCTGCTGAACATTATTGGTGGTCAGTCATGCTAATTGGGCCATAACAATGTGGCCACTGAAATAAAATTGCCTATCACAATTTTTTTCTTGTAACACATGGTGCTTTCCAACTATGTTTTCATTTTAAACGCTCCAGTGCCCCCTAAAATTGGTATCCGTTAGTGGCACAAAAGCTTGCTTTTAATTTATCTTTACCCTGTCGCACTACACCAGGGTGGACCGGTAAAATTAAAATGTATTTTGCATATTTGGAAGTTCAATACAACAGCCTGCTAGAATGGAGGGAAGGAAAAAGTATTTCGCTTGTGCTGCACCAACCACATCTTTCGCAATACCTAATATGAGAAATCAGATTTGCAAATAGAATTATTTGAGAGCTTCATGTTCGATTCATATTCAAATATTTGCACACCATATAAATTTCTTGTTCTTAGGAGAATAATGACATTTATCAATATTACTAGTGTGGTGAAATGACCACATATCAAGATTTTGATTTTAGAGACAGGATTTTTCATAATGCCTGAAAAAAGCATGACACCAACGCTGTGTTTGTAGCTGTAAACACGAATATTTGGAGTGGAAGCCAGCAGTAACAACTAGAATGACTGCAATAAGCTGCAGGGGTGTAATCAACAAGGGGGGGGGGGGTCTACAGCCCCCCCCCCCCCCC